TAGACTGAACATCCCTTCAAGTCAAAGAAAATGGTTTGGCACAAGCTGCTGTCTAAACAGCGTCGCAGAGCTGTGGTGGCCTGTTTCAGGATGACGCCTCTGTACAACATCACCACGTAATGATTAACAACATACTTATTCAAAACATGATCGACAATAAAATCAAAAGGCTTTACGAGGCATTATACCTAATATTAATTATCTTAATTATCCCTAATTGTCAGTGATCTTTCATTGTTTGCAGGCACAGGGTAACCAACATGTTCTTGGATGCATACAAACGCAACTGGTTAGAAACCGAGGGTTACTCATTTGAAGACAAGATGATTGATGACTTATCAGTAAGTTACACTTTCATTAAGGTTTCATTACTGGCATATTGTCTATTCTTTATACAAAGAGTCTGTCATGTTTTATCCTATCTATTTCTTTTTCTTTTTCTTTTTTTTAACTTGTTTTTCTTTAAACACTATACACTATACAACAAAACAAAACCACAAAACAACAACAACAACAACAAAAAGATAGATACAACAAGTAGGATAACAAAAAACAAGCAAACAAAACAAACAAACAAAAAAAAACATGTTGGATCTCTTTGTTTCTACAGTTTGATCATTTCTCATTATCAATGTGTTGGTCTATATCCTGTTGGGTTTATGTACTCAGACCATTTCTCCCACTTTTTATGGTATTGATCTTCCTGAGTCCTTATTTTGTAGGTCAATTGTTCCATGGTTTGTATTTCATCTATAATTTTGATCCATTCGTCCTGTGATGGTGGGTCTATCTTGTTCCATTTTCTTGCAATTGCCTTTTTACAGGCAGCAAGCATAATTTTCAATATGTATCTATCTTCTTTCATCACATTTCCCGTAATGACACCAAAATATAATAATGTACAAGTCTTAGATACAGCATAACCCAAAATTTTACCTATAACTAAATGAATATCTTCCCAAAATTTTGTACAAAATATTCTATCTATTTCTAACGATTAGAAAGCCATGGAAGAAGAGGAGGAAGAGGAAGAGGAGACTGAGACGAAGCCTGACCCCCTTCATCAGCTGATTCTTCATTTCAGCCGCACAGCTCTTACAGAAAAGCTGTAAGAGCATCTTTCTTCCTCCGCCTCAGTTCTCTGACCTGTTCCTCAGTGACACTTACTGATTCCTGCTCTGTGGTATTTCATTACAGTAAACTTGATGTTGACCATCTCTATATGTCATATGCTGATATTATGGCAAAGGTAAGACCTGTAAAACGCCAATGGGAATAGATCTTGAAGCTGAACTTCAGAAGAGAATAATTCACTGACATTCTGTCTGTTGCTTTCAGAGCTGCCACATTGGTGAGGAGGACGAAGGGGGAGAACAGGAGGGGGAGGAGCCATCCTTTGAGGTGCGACAGACAGAGATGGTATGGGGGGACCAGGGGAGGGGAGGCAGAGGGGAGTCAGCGGACAAGCAGCTCCCCACGCACTGAGTGACTACACCATGACATCACACTCGGCACATCCCCCCCACCCCACTCTTGCTACATTTCTCGTTTTTTCCCTTTCTGTCTTCCTTTCGTAAACTCACACCACGTGTCTATTTCCTGTTGTGGTGGACTGACCTGTGCATGCCTTTCCTGGACTCTGCACACCAGTCGGGATCAATATTCTGAAAGAATGTTTTTTTGTTTTGTTTTTTTTTTTCTAAATTGCATGACTCGAGTGTAGAGATGACGGCAGCTAAAGAATTCAAAATAAAACCCAGGTGAAGACAGACAAGTGAGTCTGTACTAGCTATTAAAATTTCAGAATCACAGTTTCCAAGCCCAAGGTGTTTCGACGCTGTGATGTTGCAGCTATGGTGATTCCTTTTGGAACCTGATACGTAAATTGTGACGTTGCCCCTTTTAGACTTAATTTAGTAAGAAACAGATAATGGCGATTAATTAAGCCATAGCACAGGATCCCTAACAGGTCCCCTGTGCAAGTCTCAGAGTTTGTGGTCAGTGTCTTCTAGACATGCACCACCCTTTTCTGACTCACAACTCATGTAATCACCTGCTAATTTGACTGTGTTCACCCATATAGACTCACCTGAAAACTGGAGTTCTAACATCTGACAACTAATTGATTTTTGTTTGTCTTTCCTTTGAATTGGACAGCGCTAACAAGTTTCCCTCTCTGTGCTCACCAAGAATACAGTAAAAGCCTGCACAGTCAGCCGTACATATACCGCCCCAAGCCCAAACACACTCATGCGAGCATACGCTACAACAGCTACATTCACAGAGGCATTCATTCATACTCACACAGTTTCTTTCCATTCTTTCTATTCATACTCTTACGCTGAGCGGAATCTCTGTAACCAGAGAAAAGTGCATTTCATGTTTTTAAAACACTTCAGGCTCACGAGGGAGGGGGGCGGAGGGAGGGTTAGGTAGAGGTTTGGGTGCTTTGGGTGGGGGTCTGTGCATGATGTGCAGTGGGTGGGTCAAATGTAACCTCTTTTGTCAACAGGATGGTTGTTCATTACCTGCTATTATTATAGTATTTGTACTGTACCACAGAATAATATAAAAAAGAGAAGTATAGTGCAGCATAGTCCGAATAGCGTGAGTTAGAATACTGCGTCACGCAGCATTAAAGTTTGTGTGTTTTTTTTTATTCACTTTAATCTTAATATGTTATATTAAACAGTATGCAGTGTCTGCAGATGTGCAGACTCATTTGTTTGTCTAGTGTTCAGTAGTTTTAAAATATTATCACATACCTTTATTAATCTAATTCAAATAAATCTGAAGGGTGATGAGTGATTTGACAATTTGACAAAGACTGCTGCTGTATAACTAAATTGTGTTTATAACCAATCAGCCTTTTTCAGAGTAAATATTTCAAAGTTCTTGAATAGAACAGTCTTTTTTATTTTCATATCGTGACAAGTCAAAACTCTAAATGACGAAAATATTTAGTCAATCAAGCAACTTTTCCTCAGTTTCAGTTTAGGGTCTTATAGTTTATCTAAAAAGCAGACAAGCGTCACAGACAGGCTACTCCAGGTAGCTTAAAATATAAGTTTAGGCTGTGAAGTAGAACAACCCTAAGCTGTTCTGTTGGAAGCAGGGGTTGCATGTTGTTTTA